AGTTCTGTATTTCTAATCACCTCTTCTCCCAATTATTACAAATTAAATGCATCAATAGCAATCAGCTGCTCCGTGCGCCCGAAAACGTGGACGAAAAAATGCGGACACACAAAACACACACACACACACATCCATTTTTTCTGACAATGAGGTATGCCAAAATGTTCAGAAACCTTCGAAATGTGGAGAAATGCAAAAATTTTCATTTTCGATTTTCGGCCCATTACTATAACTACCCTACAGGAAGTTTAATGCAAGAAACTACATATTTGTTATATATAAATTATTGTTATTTTAATAAATAATAAATTCGTTTGATATATTTTCGATTACCAAAATCAACCAATTTTTCTTATTTTCTCGCTATAGCATGTAATATATAGAAGAGTTACAATTTATCAAGATTATAGTATTGAACAACCTGAACACATAAAATGTTAGTTTATGAGACATATATAATATTTGAGTAGTAATCCAACTTGTTTCTTCTCTTCATTGTGTCACCAAATGGTGGCGCGAAAAAAACTCGAAAGGTTAAACATAAAAAAAATTAAAATAGCATTGTGTGAAGTAATCCAACTTGTCAAACATATTTATCGAAACCTCTAAATTAATCGTTCTACGAATTAAGTACGTTCACATGAATAAAAATTGACATGCATAATCACTCCTTATTTTATCTGAACTTCATATAAAACAATTTCTAAAAAACTTGGCGTCATTCAGAAACGATACTAAAAACCTGATTCATAATAACAAAACAATTAATAACAATAAATATTATTAACACGTTTCCAGTTAAAGCATTCTAATTAAACACACCTGTCGACTATAATTAAGACGAATAAGAATTAATTAGCTTATCAACATAATAGCTAGCTGAAGCAAGAACAATAACGGTATGTTTATTGTTGACAAAATTGATGAATGAAGTTTTGAATGAATAATTCATGCATGCTAATGATTACTTGTGATTACTATAAATATTTATCGAATTCGTTTAATAAGAAGAAATGCGCCGTAAGAACAATTGCATTCTTCGACTATAAATAAAAATTCCATATTGATTACACAATCTGAATCATTAATCAATTTTCCTAAGCCAATTTGCAATAAACACTCAGACGGTATATTAATGTTAATTAAAATTAAAGCAAAACGTTATTGATAACATTTACAATCGAATTGTTATTGTTTGCCATTTCGGTAATGCAATTTGTTTATTTTATTTAATGTACTATTTTTGTACTGCGCAGTTTTTACATTTAGATTTTCTTACGAAATTTTTTTTGTGTATCATATTTTAGCAGCAATCAGAACCTTATTTCCTATAAGCTGTTGGGCTGAAACCCATACTTGAACCATATTTGATTACTTTATTATTAGAATTTATCTAATACGTCTGACTTATTATTCAATTTGGTGCAGCAATGCCCGGAAATTGCTATTTTCACATGAAAACAAATTGAAGATCAGTGAAAATTGATATCGCTACTGCTCGATATCAGGGTTGTTCGGACTTTGCTGCAACAAATTGAATAATAAGTCAGCCCTATTAAATAAATTCTAATAATAAAGTAATCAAATATGGATGTATCTACCGTTGGGTTACTATCTTGAAATACAACGAAAGGAGTAGTTTCAGCCCAACAGCTTATAGGACATAATGTTTTGATTGCAGTTAATATATGACCAAAAAAACATTTTATTGAATGTGGAAATACCAGGTAATGACATGAAAACATTGCCATCTATTTTCAAGGGAAACCCGATGTCACTACTGCCTGACATCAGGCTGCTCGAAAGGGGTATCAAACTCGGACCTCTGAATCGAATCCCGTCACACTAAATTAAATAATATGTAACGTGTACAACGAATAAAAAATATTAATGATATGTAAATTTTTGCAAGAGATGTAGAAATCATACAATAACAATTTGTAGGCTTATATAAACAAATTCAAATTTCTATTTTTATAGCTGGCTTGATCGTTGTACTACAGATAAATAGAATGATCGTTTTTAATGTAGGTCATGGTATGCATACAAAGACAAAACTTTATATCGTTATATTATATGACAATATAACCGGGTTTATATGCAATATTAAACATGCAAAAACCTTATCTACAAACAATTATACAACTTTTGAATTATTATAAGTTTAGTGTGAAGCATTGTTACATATTGAATTTCTCGTATATTTTAAGAGGTGACCACTGGTACATGGCATGGTGCCTTAAAGCAAATTGCTCGAACTTCCCGTAGCGTAATTTAAAATAAGCATAAATTTAAAAGCATAGAAATGTAAACAAAATTTGTACCTGTTAAATTTTTCATAAATGATCCAAAAATTTAATGCAAATTTGTATAATGATTATTTCTGACCGCCAAATGGCTTTCTTTTAACTTTTTTTTATTGTATCTCTGAAATCGCTCGACTGCTTTTCCAACAATTTGAGCAGTTTTTCGTTTCGTTCATACAAGTAAAATGTTATTTGAATTATTCAAATCGGACGCTCCGTTCTCTCTCTCACAAACGGATTTACCATTTTTAGCATTTTTGTCTCGGTTCTTCGAAACGACTGTCCCTGCCTTTACCAAAAACCAATCAGGACGTCTCCCATCAATAGGAATCGAACTTTTTTTTTTGAATCATTGAAATCGGTTGATCGATGTTTTCGAAATCGTCGTCAAAAAATTGTATCCGCACACACGCACACATACATACATACATACATTTTTTCTAAGGTATGCCAAAATGTTCAGAAACCTTTGAAACATAGATATATAAAAATTTTTTTTTTGTTTTTTTGTGGTTACTATAGCTTACCCTACGGGAAGATAATAACAACTCAATAATATGAAATAAATGGATGTAACTGATTAAAACGTAACTGATTAAAACATGTGAAACAATGTTTAAATATCAAGAAGAAAAATTGTAACTGGCGATAGCTGTGAGCGCATCTGTAAATGTTATTTCTCAGCATGTGGTCCTGCTATGTCGAAAAACGACTAATAGTTAATTTCAGGTGGATTAAAACGCTAAAATCTAATATTTATGCATCAACATAAAAACAAAAAAATGTATCCGCACATACACACGCACATATACATACATACATTACATACATTTTTTCTAAGTTATGCCAAAATATTCAGAAACCTTTGAAACGTAAAGATATATAAAATTTTTCATTTTCCATTTTTTTTGCGATTACTATAAATTACCCGACGGGAAGTTACTGACTTTAGTCAGAATTAAAAATAAAATCAGAACTATATTCGAAAAAAATAAATAAAAAATGAAACTTTTTCCAAAAGCAATTATTTTGCTAAAACAAGCAGAAAGTTTTTTAGATCATTCAAATCGGACGCTTAGTTCTCTCAAAAACTGCCATTTTTTGCATTTAGCTTTGAATCTTCGAAATGGCTGGACTTGCCTTTACCAAAAACTGATCATAACCTCTCCCAACCATTACAAATTGAATGTTTTTTAGATCATTCAAATCGGGTACTCCGTTCTCTCAAAAACTCGATTTGTATTTTCTGCCCTCTTTGCTCCGTATCTCCGTAACGACTGGACCTTTCTTTGCCAAAAACTAATCAGCACATTTCCCTATCAATAGGAATCGAATGTTTTTTGAACCATTCAAATCGGTTGATCCGTGCGCCCGAAAACGTGAACGAAAAAAATTGGACAGAAAACACACACACACACAACATCCATTTTTCTGAGGTATGACAAAATGTTCAGAAACCTTCAAAACGTCGAGAAATGCAAAAAAATTCATTTTCGATTTTTGGCCCATTACTATAACTATCCTACGGGAAGTTAAAAATATTGTTTGATAAAGAATAAAAAAGTTTGATAAAGATAATGCTATGCAATCTGCCTTTGCATAAAAAATTACTTCTAGTTCTCTAAATGTAAGGCAAGATCTGACAATATAATAAATCTAACAATACGAAGAACGTCGTAAATTTATTATCAGTGAAATTATTGATGTAAATGGTGGGAATTTAATATATCAGTAAAAACCATCCCATACTGAAAGTACTTAATTATGTAAATTAATAAAAAAAAGTCTTAAACGTAAGTTTAAAAATAACCCTATGACCTGAATCAGAGGTCCCGGGTTCGATACCCACTTCGAGCAGCCTGTTGTCAGGCAGCAGTGACAACGATTTTCACTTATAATTAGAAATATAGATAGCAATATGTTTCCAAGTGAAAATAGCCCTTGCCCGGCATTGCTGCACCAATAAAAAAAGTCAGCCCTATTAAATTAATTCTAATAACAAAAATCATTAAATATGGATGGTAACATTGGGTTACTATCTAAAAAAAATATGAAGTAAGGAGAAGTTTCAGCCCAACAGCTCATAGGACGTAAGGTTCTGATTGCTGTTAAAAAAAAAAAAAAAAAAAAAAACCTATATTAAAAATTCTATATACATGAACGTGAACTTTCCATAAATCTGATGATTTAAGTAATAATTATTTTGGTGACCTTAACCACGCTTTTACTCCTGTTGATATCATTCAGAGCTGTGCGAGTTTTTAGAAAGTTTTTAGAAAGACCATATTCTCGTTGTGAAGAATTCAATATGTAAAACAAATTCCAATGTAAGGTTATGTGTTCAACCCTTCATCGTAAGGGAAAAAGATAAATTATTACAAACTTGAGATAGCAATTGGAAATATACTTAAAATAATTGAAAACAAGTAAAAATAAAAAAAACAAACATTTATTACTAAAAATTGAACTTTTATCTATATCACAGGAAACTTATTTCACGTAAGTGAAATAAGAATTTCATGTAAATATCGTTTTATTTTTTTACTTGTTATGAAAGTAAATATAATTTCTAACATAATTGTAATACATAATTTTAATCTAGCATAAACTGCAGTAACATAAAATTTTTCCAAATTACAAATAAAATAGTTCTAGGTTATGTTCTCATGCAAAAACAAAAATTGCTGAACTTACCTCAAATCGTAAAGTGAGGATAAATTAAATTAAACAATATCTCTGTAATCCTATTATATATATGAATATTTAATTCAAAATATCAAATCTGTACACGATTTAGTAAAAATGAAAAATTTATCACTTTGAGTGATAAACCCCGTATATAAACAGCGATATAATTGAAATTTTTTTTTCGAATAGTTAAAAAGTTGAAGTTAAAATGCACAAAATCAGTTCCTTCACTGCACAAAACTGTAATATTTAAAAAGCAAATATTAAAACACAAGTGCAAAGAATGACGCTAGCCAGACGACTGCTGGAATGAATTAATGCACGATTGAGCTGCGAGCTGCGACTTCGAACGGGTCGACGCAATGCCGAAGCACCACAGCTGTGAAAAGCGAGAAACACGGCCGAACCAGACGGACCAAACAGGGATATGGAACCTTTTATTCTGCTTATCTCATAGTCAAAGCCGTAGCAGGTCTATGGCTTATCTTCAATTAATTTTAAGTCAAAAATTTTAACTGAAGTAAAAAACATGAATTTCTTTCAAAAGTTTATTTTACATCCATACGTTTCGGCTATAATCCTAGCCTTCATTCTGTGGAAACTAAAAATAAAATTAAAAACCAAAACAATTGAATTGGAGTAAAAAGAAAAAATAAAATAGTAAATAGTACTTACAATTAGTTAATCTTAGTGTTAAATTGGAAGATTTCAATAATCCATGGCATCAGGATATGGTAATGCACTACACTATATAATATAAAGACTTTATACTCTTCTTTTATCTATGTATAAAGATTAAGCTTGTAATTAAACAATATTTTCACAAAATACTATTTTAACACACTGTGCGACACAAATCTCATTTATTTAGATAGCATTTCCAAATTTCTCACAAACTTCACAATTCGTTCATATTTTCTCCATTATATCTTCAACCAGTCTACATATATATATATATATATTTTGATTTATTTTTCATAGCAAGCTATACAAAGTACATTCAGCTATATATAACTGTAAGAAATGTAGCTGAATGTACTTTGTATAGCTTGCTATGAAAAATAAATAAATATATATATATATATATATATATATTAACTACTAAATCATATATATATATATATATTATATATATATATATTATATTATATATAATATATATATATATATATATATATATATATATATATATATATATATATATGTTATTCGTAGACTGGTTGAAGATATAATGGAGAAAATATGAACGAATTGTGAAGTTTTATGAGAAATTTGGAAATGCAATCTAAATAAATGAGATTCGTGTCGCACAGTGTGTTAAGTTCATTCCGTTTATTTATTGTCTTATTGTTATAAATAGTTAAAAAAAGATCCATCTATAATTCTTCGTTTAAATAAGTTTTGTTCGAATTGTAGTACAGTCGGGCTAGAAAAGTCTATATTGTGTTTTAAAGTATTAATGTGGTCCGCAAGCATAGTTTTAAATTGTCTAGGATTTTTTGAATTGTTTTTAAGTTGTTGTAAACGTTTGATCAAGTTCTAGCTTCTTTCTTCTATACAATCTAGACAAATTATTTGACATAATTACTCACCCTGATTCTGCCATAAAATAATCTTGGAAAGCATAATATCAAGTAAATCTATGGACATAATTTTTTTAAAGCAATCGTAACCATAGATAAAAAAGCACGAAAATGTAAAGTACATCATTTGCATGCAACACGATAAGTTTGCACACGACTAACTAATAACTAAAGTTATTTCGACTCAGACTATTCAATTCTGATGATAATATAATAATAAAACATCTGGTATGTAAAATAAAAATATGTTAAATCTTTACTTTCTTTTTTTATGTTGATGTTATGCCCTCCAAAATTTTAGTCGTACATTTCAACATCAAAATAAACTGAATGAATGAATTCTTAATATATTATGTATTATGAAGTTATTCCAAGAAATCTTTAGAATATTTAAGCTTTAAATTTAAAAAATACAATCAAAAGGATGCAAGCGCATGTATACGCAACATTTGCAAGTTGGCCATTGATGACCATGGGAGTATTTTGAAGCGTACGTAATTAATAAGGTAACTCATAACATTGTTTTAATTGCAATGCTGATATAAATGAAAACTAAATATTATTAATGTTGAACATATTTAATTAAATGAAAAACCTATCCAGCAGGTGATTAATCACAAGAATAACAAAATTTAGAATCTGATAAACACATGAAGAAATTTCAAAAATATAAATATGAACATTCGACTTTAGTTAACAGTTATAGCAGCTGATGGAAGATTTATAAATTATATCGTTTTCTACAGTCATGATAGAATAGCAACTTTTAACTTGATTAAAAGCGATAAATCTTTACTCATTCAATTCGCAAAGACGCAATTTAAAAGTCCACGCTTTATTACGGGTTATGACACGTGAATAGATCTCCTTTATCATGTACTGAAAGCGTGATGTATAATCTAAGTAGCATGTTATTGAAAACAACAAAAATGCAGAAAATTAAAATTGTAACAATATTATAAAACGCGGTAAACTACGCACTTAGATTGCGTGGAGACCTATAGGTCAAAGGTCATTTATATATAGTAATTATAATTACTATATATAGTTTATATATATATATATATATATATATATATATATGTGTGTGTGTGTGCGTGTGTAACTTAAATATTTATTTGTTGGATGTTATACGCTTTCTTAGAAAAATCAGTCTTTCTAAAATAATAATTCAAAAGATATTCAAATCGTAAAACAGCGTAAAAAGTAAACATTAAAACCGGTAAATGAAACATTATATCATGCTATTAAAAATACACCTAAGTCTGTTTTTACACGGTCTTTTTGTACACGGTTTTGATATAACACGGTTTGAAAATTGAATATTTTTAATTTTTTTACACCAATTTATTCCATTTAGCACGATTTGAAATTTTATGTACCTAAATTTTTTTTGTCAAATTAAATTTTTGCGAAGTATGTTCATATCACAAAAAAGTATTTATGAAAGAAAAAAGTCTGAAACCATCGATAGTATCGATAGTTTGCAAACACTAGCTTAAAGATTTAAGTGAATTCCCCTTTAGCGCGTACAAACAATTTTTACTGGTCAAAGCAAATGTGAATAGCACTAATTTAATTTTTGTTCTTAAAAATTCTTGTTTTTCACCAATTTTAATAGGTTTTAGAGATTAGGAACAAATCACCCATTTTTGTATAAGATCAATGTCTTTTTTTACACGTTTTTTTTTTTACACGGATTCTTCTGGAACCAATCTCCGTGTAAAAACAGACTTAGGTGTATATAAATTATATATAGGAAATGTTTACTTTATTATCAATTTCAAGGTTTGCATTTCTGAAAGTAATAAAATAAATTTGAAAATTTTGCATATAATAATATCATAGTGAATTAAAATTTATTATTCCATAATAATTAAAATCTATATAGAATTATAAGTATCAATTAAAATAATAAAAACGATTAAATATTTACAATCTGTGAAAGATACGATGTTAAGATTCATAATAATGATTGTGAGTAAATGAGTGAATATAAAGTTCAAAGTACACAAATACGGAAGATTATCAAGAATTTTATCATTAAAATTCACGCTATGTCTAGAGTAGCACAAAATGTAAATAAACATTGCATAACTTACACAGTCATTCATTTAACTGATCTGGCAAAGCATTTAATATTTGATATAAGTGTTAATTCTCTTACACATCTATTTTGGAAATTTATTAAATCCCCAAAATTTGTGGTTTATTTATTTTTCTGATATAAAAACGATATCAAGCTTTATCCAAAAAAATGTCCTTTACTCCCATTTAGAAAACTGATAAATTTTACTGGTTGACTAGTTTCATTCAAAAAAGTTTCACTGTGATTGCATCTTTTGACTAATTTACCAATATATTCGAAACACAATTTTCAATTACCATTACAGAATTTAATTAAAATTCCTCTCAAATTTTCAAGCCCCTCCAATATCTGCAACACAGATAACACCATTTCTCTACCATTAAATTTAATTCTAAATAATACGCCCGTATGGTATATACCATGTATTTGAATAGATAAAGGTTATTTGATTTGGAACCGGTTACATGCTAATCTACATTGAAATTTTTTTGAACGAATACGCTCAATTAGGGAAGGAAACAGTTCATCCATTATACTACTGGTATGATATTTTATGTATCAAAAATGTTTTTTTTTTTTTATTAAACTGTTATTCATTTTTAATATTTTCTATTAACCGTAGCATATCTGACTAAATGCTAAATTGATAATTAGTAGTAAATGATTATTGGATTCATATGTCAGAATTAGCTGTTTTATTATAAATATATACAATTATTTATTCATATATTTAACTAAACAAATATAATATAAAAATGTTTCTATGATGTTAAGTATACATAATATAATAAATATAGCGCCTTCTCATAACATATAAAAGTCAACAAATTAAAACTCATGTGATAAATTGGTTTACCACTTTTAATTCATCCACTAATATACTATAATATCTTGGATTAAATTAAACTATATTACATGAATTACTTTCTTTTTCCTGTTTTTGTTGGTTCTTTTTGCTCCGCTTTGCTTAACTTTCTAAAAACTTGTTTCTTTAATTCCTTATGCCTGCGTAATTTTTGCATTTCCTCCATTTGCATTTCTTTTTGGTGTTTTTCCATTCTAGTGGACATTGCTTTCTTAAGAGTTTCTTGTTTGTGGTCATAAGATGTTTTGAGCATTTTCAGCATACTGTTAACCTTCTGTTCATGAGGACTATGAATAACAGCAATACGTTGTTTATCAATAGGCTTTTTGGGATCAATAGGACCACTCTTGGGCTTGTCACGGTATGGTAAAGCTTTTTGTAAACTTTTCGGTATTGACAATGGTTTAAAAACTTTTGGATCACGGTGAATTTCCTGATAATTAGTAAAAACAATTCATTATATGAACATGCCATGTAATAAATAAACTATAGAATTTGTGATAAAACTGGTGAATTGTATTATACAAACCTTATAAAGACTGTCTTCATTAGGCATATTTCTGATACCACGTTCCCTTTTCAATTGGCCAACTGTCTTCATGCCACTCCATGTATTTTTCTGACCAAGTGGCAACAATAAATTCACAATAGGACTATAAAATTGAGGAACATCAACTTTAAACCATGTTCGACAGAACACAATATCTGCAAGAAAAAATTTATATATAGATATAGAAATGTATATATGTAAATATATATATATATATATATATATATATACATATTGTATGATTCTGAATTTGATATATAATAAGATATTATTATTATATAATATATAATTTAATTATATAATTAATATAATTATTATATATATAATAAGATCAATTCAAATATTATTTATTTTTCTACAGAATAAATAATACATTTTTACTTTTTACTTTTTAACTAAACCTGATTTCCAAATAAAACCTGATATATGAATATGTGTGATTTTATTTGGAACCAAATATATGAATATATTAATATCTCCCTTCCGCTTTTTTGCTCTTGGTTTATAATACAAAAAGGCGGAAGGGAGATATTTTATTTTATATTTATATATTTTATATTTTTTAAATCCATATATGCTCCTGAATTTTTTGGTATTGCTTTAATTTGCATGGAAATAGTCATCGGCAAAATGAAAAGGACATTTGGTCCAATCTATAATATTAGTAATAAAATACATCTTTGGGTTAGTAATAAGTTAAACCTATTTATTATACTTACCACTGAGTTTTATTTTATCTTCAAATGTAGCTCGGAAGCATCCTTCAGGTTTATTTATAGCTTTCTTTATTTGTCCTCTAATTCCAGATACAGTTTTAATTTTAGCTCCTTCAAACTTTGCAACTTCTAAAGTGCTATTGAACATATCTGCAAAAAAAATTACATTACTTTGCTAATCTATTGGTGATATGTACTTTTTAATACATACCTTTTATAAATGCTGTTTTTTTTAAAAATTTCAGTGGTGTGCCTACTAATTTCAATTTTTTCATTATTTGAGTAGATTTATCCATTTCATTAACTGCACCAGTCGCAGCTATCCTAAATCCAACAGATTTTAATTCAGAATCGCTAGTGTAACTTTTCAATGCACAGAAACCTGAAAGAATGTATTAAATCTTTTTAACACATTTAAGTAAAAAAAATCCTGTAATATGTAAAATTAGCATGAAGTATTAAAATCAAATAAAGCACAATATACTGAAGTATCTTTATAAATATGCAGTTGTTAAATTACAACTCTAACAACTAGTGATATGCATTAATTCTAAATGTTAACTAGAAAACGGATATTTAAAATAGTGAAGATATACAAAAACAGTAACTTTATCTAAAAAAAAAAAAAAAAATTCTAAATTTTAATTAAGAAACTAGAGATACACTATTAAAAAATTTCGAATCAAAATAAAATCAATACATTTAAACATTAAAATAATTATTTACTAAGTTTATCAAAATTAATACCTATTATTTACAAACCTGTATTTAAAGGAGTAATTGGTCCCCAAAAATGCATATTGCAAGTAATGTAATTGGGAGTATACTTCAAATATCTATACCTCATATTATCTTCTATTTTTGAATAAATTGGCATAGTTTGAAACCTTGAAAATAACAATTACAATAGTATTCGACTACTAAATAAGTAATCAAATTATAATCAATTATAATTAATTAGTGCATAAATATTATAAATAATAGTTAAATGAAATCAAATAATAGTATCAAACAAATATATAAAGAGGAAGTTCTTAAATTACCTTCTCCACCCTAATGAAACAATTAGAGGATCAGCAGTTTTGAGGGTAGCCTTAAATCATCGATGTTTCTTCACCTTACAACTAACATATCCTACATTTTCTAGTCCCCCCCAGATATAATACACTTATGCCAGCGTTTTTTCCAATTTTCGAAGCACCCTTGATATTCACTTTTTGATATGTCCTTGAGCACTCTCAGCGATTTTCTTCAATCGAGGAAAACCGCCGTCCTTTCATGGGTCTCTTCAACTTTGGGAATAGGAAAAAGTCACACGGAGCCATATCTGGTGAATTTTTGCACTTTGCAACACTTTATTTCATTTTTTACGCAAAATTTAATACAAATTCTTTGACTTTTCAATTCTTCCATTGTAAAAATCGCCGAGCTCAGAAAAACACGTCGAACCTTAGCGACTACCACAGACAAAGTAAACAGTGAATATAGCTGAAAATTTCATCATACTTTAGGGGCATGTATACCAACACAATAAAAAAAAAATTTTGACAATCAGACACTCCAGACCCGCGAAATTTAATTATTAGTAATTCCGGGTACTTTTTGAACAGACCTCGTATATATATCTATGTTATTCGTAGACTGGTTGAAGATATAATGGAGAAAATATGAACGAATTGTGAAGTTTTATGAGAAATTTGGAAATGCTATCTAAATAAATGAGATTTGTGTCGCACAGTGTGTTAAGTTCATTCCGTTTATTTATTTTCTTATTGTTATAAATAGTTAAAAAAGATCCATCTATAATTCTTCGTTTAAATAAGTTTTGTTCGAATTGTAGTACAGTCGGGTTAGAAAAGTCTATATTGTGTTTTAAAGTATGTGGTCCGCAAGCATAGTTTTAAATTGTCTAGGATTTGTTGAATTATTTTTAAGTTGTTGTAAACGTTTAATCAAGTTCTAGCTTCTTTCTTCTATACAATCTAGACAAATTATTTGATATAATTACTCACCCTGATTCTGCCATAAAATAATCTTGGAAAGCATAATATCAAGTAAATCTATGGACATATTTTTTTTAAAGCAATCGTAACCATAGATAAAAAAGCACGAAAATGTAAAGTACATCATTTGCATGCAACACGATAAGTTCACTGTCAGTGATTGTAAATTAACAGTAATCGACTCAGACTATTCAATTCTGATGATAATGATGACATAGAATTGTATATCGAAACATCTGGTATGTAAAATAAAAATATATTAGATCTTTACTTTCTCTTTTATTTGATGTTATGCCCTCCAAAATTTTAGTCGTACATTTCAACATCAAAATAAACTGAATGAATGAATTCTTAATATATTATGTATTATGAAGTTATTGCAAGAAATCTTTAGAATATTTAAGCTTTAAATTTAAAAAATACAATCAAAAGGATGCAAGCGCATGTATACGCAATATTTGCAAGTTGGTCATTGATGACCATGGGAGTATTTTAAAGCGTACGTAATTAATTAAGTAACTCATAACATTGTTTTAATTACAATGCTGGTATAAATGAAAACTAAATATTATTAATGTTGAACATATTTAATTAAATGAAAAACCTATCCAGCAAGTGATTAATCACAAGAATAACAAAATTTAGAATCTGATAAACACATGAAGAAATTTCAAAAATATAAATATGAACATTCGACTTTAGTTAACAGTTATAGCAGCTGATGGAAGATTTATAAATTATATCGTTTTCTACAGTCATGATAGAATAGCAACTTTTAACTTGATTAAAAGCGATAAATCTTTACTCATTCAATTCGCAAAGACGCAATTTAAAAGTCCACGCTTTATTACGGGTTATGACACGTGAATAGATCTCCTTTATCATGTACTGAAAGCGTGATGTATAATCTAAGTAGCATGTTATTGAAAACAACAAAAATGCAGAAAATTAAAATTGTAACAATATTATAAAACGCGGTAAACTACGCACTTAGATTGCGTGGAGACCTAATTACTGTATATAGTTTATATATATATATATATATATATATATATATATATATATATGTGTGTGTGTATGTGTAACTTAAATATTTATTTGTTGGATGTTATACGCTTTCTTAGAAAAATCAGTCTTTCTAAAATAATAATCCAAATGATATTCAAATCGTAAAACAGCGTAAGAAGTAAACATTAAAACCGGTAAATGAAACATTATATCATGCTATTAAAAATATATAAATTATATATAGGAAATGTTTACATTATTATCAATTTCAAGGTTTGCATTTCTGAAAGTAATAAAATAAATTTGAAAATTTTGCATATAATAATATTATAGTAAATTAAAATTTATTATTCCATAATAATTAAAATCTATATAGAATTAAAAGTATCAATTAAAATAATAAAAACGATTAAATATTTACAATCTGTGAAAGATACGATGTTAAGATTCATAATAATGATTGTGAGTAAATGAGTAAATATAAAGTTCAAAGTACACAAATACGGAAGATTATCAAGAATTTTATCATTAAAATTCACGCTATGTCTAGAGTAGCACAAAATGTAAATAAACATTGCATAACTTACACAGTCATTCATTTAACTGATCTGGCAAAGCATTTAATATTTGATATAAGTGTTAATTCTCTTACACATCTATTTTGGAAATTTATTAAATTCCCAAAATTTGTGGTTTATTTATTTTTCTGATATAAAAACGATATCAAGCTTTATCCAAAAAAATGTCCTTTACTCCCATTTAGAAAACTGATAAATTTTACTGGTTGACTAGTTTCATTCAAAAAAGTTTCACTGTGATTGCATCTTTTGACTAATTTACCAATATATTCGAAACACAATTTTCAATTACCATTACAGAATTTAATTAAAATTCCTCTCAAATTTTCAAGCCCCTCCAATATCTGCAACACAGATAACACCATTTCTCTACCATTAAATTTAATTCTAAATAATACGCCCGTATGGTATATACCATGTATTTGAATAGATAAAGGTTATTTGATTTGGAACTGGTTACATGCTAATCTACATTGAAATTTTTTTGAACGAATACGCTCAATTAGGGAAGGAAACAGTTCATCCATTATACTACTGGTATGATATTTTATGTATCAGAAATTTTTTTTTTTTATTAAACTGTTATTCATTTTTAATATTTTCTATTAACCGTAGCATATCTGACTAAATGCTAAATTGATAATTAGTAGTAAATGATTATTGGATTCATATGTCAGAATTAGCTGTTTTATTATAAATATATACAATTATTTATTCATATATTTAACTAAACAAATATAATATAAAAATGTTTCTATGATGTTAAGTATACATAATATAATAAATATAGCGCCTTCTCATAACATATAAAAGTCAACAAATTAAAACTCATGTGATAAATTGGTTTACCACTTTTAATTCATCCACTAATATACTATAATATCTTGGATTAAATTAAACTATATTACATGAATTACTTTCTTTTTCCTGTTTTTGTTGGTTCTTTTTGCTCCGCTTTGCTTAACTTTCTAAAAACTTGTTTCTTTAATTCCTTATGCCTGCGTAATTTTTGCATTTCCTCCATTTGCATTTCTTTTTGGTGTTTTTCCATTCTAGTGGACATTGCTTTCTTAAGAGTTTCTTGTTTGTGGTCATAAGATGTTTTGAGCATTTTCAGCATACTGTTAACCTTCTGTTCATGAGGACTATGAATAACAGCAATACGTTGTTTATCAATAGGCTTTTTGGGATCAATAGGACCACTCTTGGGCTTGTCACGGTATGGTAAAGCTTTTTGTAAACTTTTCGGTATTGACAATGGTTTAAAAACTTTTGGATCACGGTGAATTTCCTGATAATTAGTAAAAACAATTCATTATATGAACATGCCATGTAATAAATAAACTATAGAATTTGTGATAAAACTGGTGAATTGTATTATACAAACCTTATAAAGACTGTCTTCATTAGGCATATTTCTGATACCACGTTCCCTTTTCAATTGGCCAACTGTCTTCATGCCACTCCATGTATTTTTCTGACCAAGTGGCAACAATAAATTCACAATAGGACTATAAAATTGAGGAACATCAACTTTAAACCATGTTCGACAGAACACAATATCTGCAAGAAAAAATTTATATATAGATATAGAAATGTATATATGTAAATATATATATATATATATATATATATATATATATATATATATATATATGTTTAATTTGAGTTTAATATTCGGGCGTAACATCAATAAAAATAGTATGAGTTTTTTTTTTTTTTTTTTTTTTTTAAATTTATTTATTTAAAATCCATACGTTTCGGCTAGCATCTTAGCCATCATTCAGTGGTAATCAAGTTAACTATAAAAATTGGAACTAAATAAATTATATGAAAGGAAATTTCATGGAAAAACAATAATAATAATAATAGTAATAAAACACTTACAATTTTGTATCCTAATATAGCATATGAAACCATTATTAATCCATGGTATGAGTATGTGCACATTGATAAGATATGTATTTTTTAACACAAACATCACAAATGGTAAAACACACTAATAATCATGATAACTTGACAAGTTGTCGAAACTATGTATTTACTCTTCGGAGTTTAGGATAGAAATGTCACAACTTTCTCAAAGTAGTTTTTAGCATGTGTTGATATTTTTTGGAAAATTTAAAAGGCGATGGGATTTTGTTATTTTTTAAGGAATTTTGACACGCTATTAAGAAACCACGTGTTCGTTTCGATAAGGGCCGTATTGTCATTGCGTTTATTTATGACTCTGTCGTTATGTAATTGTAAAAACAACCCCTCAGCGAATCTTCTTTTAATTGTATTCTCTTCAAAATGTAAAATTTTAGGGTTAAAAAAATCGATATTGTGATTTAAATTTTTAATATGCTCAGTTAACATTGTTTTAAATTGTTTGGGATTTTTTGAATTATTTTTGTGTTGATTAAGGCGTTTACTCAGGTTTTGGCTAGTTTCTCCAATATAAAAGAGTTCGCAATTAGAGCAATTAATTTGATATACTAAATTCCTGAGCCGGTCAAAATTGAACTTAGATTTCATTTGTGTAAAAATTGAACTAAGGGTTGCATCACAATTACACACCAACAGAATGCCACACTGTTGAAATAATTTTTTCCACGAGAAATATAAATCTTTTACGTACGGTAGGCAAATGACACCAGTATATGATTCTAAGTCTAAACGGTTTTTATGGTCTGTGAGGTCTTTTTGTTTGTTAAGAATGTAACTGCGTCTGTTATTTATGACAGAGTTGATTATGTTCGTAGGATATGAGTTGTTTTTCAGTGTGTTTATAACCAGGTCAATATTCGTGTCCCAGAAGTTTTTGTCAGATAGTAATATGGCGTGGTCTGTTAAATTTATTATTGTCGCTATTTTCATTTTAAGAGGGTGGTATGAGTGGTAATTTATGTATCGTCCGGAGCTAGTTGGTTTCTGGTACCAGTTAGTAATTAGTCGGTGGTCATTTGTACGTATTAGTCTGATGTCTAGAAAACTAATCGAATTCACTGTCTCTAATTCTACGGTAAACTGTAGTTTTTTATTAAAATTGTTAAAATTATCAGTAAATATGTTAATGTCTTCTTCCGGAATACAAGTAATGATATCGTCTACATATCGGTAATAAAAGATTTGTTTGTTATAATTATTAAAAATTTTGTTTTCTACTAATTGTAAGGAAATTTCTACTAAAGACGGAGATGCGGGAGATCCCATTGGGGTGCCAAAAATTTGGTAATAAAATGATCCATTAAATTCAAAATAGGTGTTAGAGACAATGAATTTGATGATTTCTCTAAACCAATGTAAAGATAATGTGGTGTGAAGGCTAATTTCACTCCATCCGACTAATTACTAACTGGTACCAGAAACCAACTAGCTCCGGACGATACATAAATTACCACTCATACCACCCTCTTAAAATGAAAATAGCGACAATAATAAATTTAACAGACCACGCCATATTACTATCTGACAAAAACTTCTGGGACACGAATATTGACCTGGTTATAAACACACTGAAAAACAACTCATATCCTACGAACATAATCAACTCTGTCATAAATAACAGACGCAGTTACATTCTTAACAAACAAAAAGACCTCACAGACCATAAAAACCGTTTAGACTTAGAATCATATACTGGTGTCATTTGCCTACCGTACGTAAAAGATTTATATTTCTCGTGGAAAAAATTATTTCAACAGTGTGGCATTCTGTTGGTGTGTAATTGTGATGCAACCCTTAGTTCAATTCTGTTGGTGTGTAATTGTGATGCAACCCTTAGTTCAATTTTTACACAAATGAAATCTAAGTTCAATTTTGACCGGCTCAGGAATTTAGTATATCAAATTAATTGCTCTAATTGCGAACTCTTTTATATTGGAGAAACTAGCCAAAACCTGAGTAAACGCCTTAATCAACACAAAAATAATTCAAAAAATCCCAAACAATTTAAAACAATGTTAACTGAGCATATTAAAAATTTAAATCACAATATCGATTTTTTTAACCCTAAAATTTTACATTTTGAAGAGAATACAATTAAAAGAAGATTCGCTGAGGGGTTGTTTTTACAATTACATAACGACAGAGTCATAAATAAACGCAATGACAATACGGCCCTTATCGAAACGAACACGTGGTTTCTTAATAGCGTGTCAAAATTCCTTAAAAAATAACAAAATCCCATCGCCTTTTAAATTTTCCAAAAAATATCAACACATGCTAAAAACTACTTTGAGAAAGTTGTGACATTTCTATCCTAAACTCCGAAGAGTAAATACATAGTTTCGACAACTTGTCAAGTTATCATGATTATTAGTGTGTTTTACCATTTGTGATGTTTGTGTTAAAAAATACATATCTTATCAATGTGCACATACTCATACCATGGATTAATAATGGTTTCATATGCTATATTAGGATACAAAATTGTAAGTGTTTTATTACTATTATTATTATTATTGTTTTTCCATGAAATTTCCTTTCATATAATTTATTTAGTTCCAATTTTTATAGTTAACTTGATTACCACTGAATGATGGCTAAGATGCTAGCCGAAACGTATGGATTTTAAATAAATAAATTTAAAAAAAAAAAAAAAAAAAAAAAACTCATACTATTTTTATTGATGTTACGCCCGAATATTAAACTCAAATTAAACATATATATCAACATCAAATTCAAGAATATTCAAAAATATATATATATATATATATATATACATATTGTATGATTCTGAATTTGATATATAATAAGATATTATTATTATATAATATATAATTTAATTATATAATTAATATAATTATTATATATATAATAAGATCAATTCAAATATTATTTATTTTTCTACAGAATAAATAATACATTTTTACTTTTTACTTTTTAACTAAACCTGATTTCCAAATAAAACCTGATATATGAATATGTGTGATTTTATTTGGAACCAAATATATGAATATATTAATATCTCCCTTCCGCTTTTTTGCTCTTGGTTTATAATACAAAAAGGCGGAAGGGAGATATTTTATTTTATATTTATATATTTTATATTTTTTAAATCCATATATGCTCCTGAATTTTTTGGTATTGCTTTAATTTGCATGGAAATAGTCATCGGCAAAATGAAAAGGACATTTGGTCCAATCTATAATATTAGTAATAAAATACATCTTTGGGTTAGTAATAAGTTAAACCTATTTATTATACTTACCACTGAGTTTTATTTTATCTTCAAATGTAGCTCGGAAGCATCCTTCAGGTTTATTTATAGCTTTCTTTATTTGTCCTCTAATTCCAGATACAGTTTTAATTTTAGCTCCTTCAAACTTTGCAACTTCTAAAGTGCTATTGAACATATCTGCAAAAAAAATTACATTACTTTGCTAATCTATTGGTGATATGTACTTTTTAATACATACCTTTTATAAATGCTGTTTTTTTAAAAATTTTCAGTGGTGTGCCTACTAATTTCAATTTTTTCATTATTTGAGTAGATTTATCCATTTCATTAACTGCACCAGTCGCAGCTATCCTAAATCCAACAGATTTTAATTCAGAATCGCTAGTGTAACTTTTCAATGCACAGAAACCTGAAAGAATGTATTAAATCTTTTTAACACATTTAAGTAAAAAAAATCCTGTAATATGTAAAATTAGCATGAAGTATTAAAATCAAATAAAGCACAATATACTGAAGTATCTTTATAAATATGCAGTTGTTAAATTACAACTCTAACAACTAGTGATATGCATTAATTCTAAATGTTAACTAGAAAACGGATATTTAAAATAGTGAAGATATACAAAAACAGTAACTTTATCTAAAAAAAAAAAAAAAATTCTAAATTTTAATTAAGAAACTAGAGATACACTATTAAAAAATTTCGAATCAAAATAAAATCAATACATTTAAACATTAAAATAATTATTTACTAAGTTTATCAAAATTAATACCTATTATTTACAAACCTGTATTTAAAGGAGTAATTGGTCCCCAAAAATGCATATTGCAAGTAATGTAATTGGGAGTATACTTCAAATATCTATACCTCATATTATCTTCTATTTTTGAATAAATTGGCATAGTTTGAAACCTTGAAAATAACAATTACAATAGTATTCGACTACTAAATAAGTAATCAAATTATAATCAATTATAATTAATTAGTGCATAAATATTATAAATAATAGTTAAATGAAATCAAATAATAGTATCAAACAAATATATAAAGAGGAAGTTCTTAAATTACCTTCTCCACCCTAATGAAACAATTAGAGGATCAGCAGTTTTGAGGGTAGCCTTAAACCATCGATGTTTCTTCACCTTACAACTAACATATCCTACATTTTCTTCAGCCATATTAAGTCCACCAATTAACACAGGATATGTGGGATCAAAATTTTCCACAAACTCACATGGAACGTTTTGAAAACCTAATCTTACATATAATCCTGCTCTGAAACCTTCTATCTGCAATCTCATGTCTTCATCCAAAGTTGCAAATTCTGATTTGTTTAATTCCGATTGCCTTAAAGCTTCTTCTTTCAGACTTTCATAGTAGCTATGATCACCTGTAATCTTTTCTGTATCTGGATTATCATATTCTGAATCAAATTTGGCTTTCAATTTTAATTTTTTGGCCAAGATCTCCGCTTTGGTCATATTAGTTTCTTCAATCCTGTTAGGTTTATGAACTTCATCATCCATGTCTTCATTTTCTACTGAATCATCTATTTTAGTTTCTTCGCCTATGTGTTTTGTTCCAGTTTCTAAATCTTCAAAGTCACCAAAGATTTCACTATCATCATCGCTAGCATCATCAAGTTTGAGTAGTTCTGAAGCATCTTCACTGGATTTCCATTTTCCAGTTACAAAACAATTTTGAACCAAATCTTTATTCTTGGAATAAGACATTCATATATAAATTTTAAGAAAATGTTTATAAATATATTTGCCAAATTTACCTCTAGCCAGTTTTGAACTTCATAGTGCCCAATATGATAAAATGAAGTATCAAAATTATCTTTATTATCTTTTTCACTATGATCTTTCCTTTGTTTATCAGTGACTTTGCGAAAAAGACCACCAAGTTCATCTTCAGAATTTTCATCAGCACTATTCTGCTTTCCATCATTGTCTTCTTTATTAAGTCGAGTGTTGAATATACCTATAGAAAATATTGTGGTCCATAAATATAAAATGATATATTGCAAAAAATTAGTAAATTTTGGAAAACCTACCATATACTAATTTCATTAGATTCTGTGATTTTGATTGCATTGATAAATGATCTTCCATGGCCCTTTTGGCAAGACCTTCCTTCCAATTCATTGTCATATCTTCATCATCAGATTCGCTTTCATCATCAGAGTCATTTTGATCCTCGTTTTTAGCAATGGTCCAGGGTTCATCATCAAATTCAGCCTTTTCCTGATCACTTTCGTCTAAGTTATCATCATCAGAATGTTGATTTTCATCTTCTGTATTATCATCACTGAGATCATCATCATCAGAAATTTCATCATCGTCATCACTACTGTTACCAGAATCATCTTCTTCATTATCTTGTGATGGTTTTCCATTCTCTTCATCTTCTGATGAAAGTTTTATTCTTTTGCTTTGATGTTCATCTTCATTTGTGTAATTGTTCTGAGCCTCAAAAAATTCAGAAGATTTAAGTAAATCACCATCACTAAATAACTTAAATTCAGTATTTTCAACTTGAACATCAAAAGCTTCTTTTTTCTCTATGAATGTTTTAACTAATTCTGTTTTTTCAGATGGTTGTTGCTTGTGCTGATGAGAACCTAGTTTAATATGCAATGATATTAAAAGAAAGTGAAAAGTATATTTCAATTAAACAATAAAATTTAAACAAAATAATTGATAATTACAAGAAAAAAATATGCTGACTTTTGTACTTATTTAGTTCATGAATAAAAGCTTTTACCTTGCAGTTCAATATAAACAGCATCTTTATCATAAACTATTCCTCCAACTCCAGACATAGGAGCATATAAAAGACGTTCTTTATCAACTAAACTGCGTTTCTTTTCTGCTGATGGTAGTGGACATGGATCAGGTAAGGAGCTAAGCTCATGAAGAGCCAAATCCCCCAAACCTAATTTTTAACAATATTATTACAGATATGTTATAATTACATTAATAACTAAACTAAATAAATGAATGAAGGCTATCAGAAATAAGCACCTGCTACATGAACCATATTATTTGGTTGCATAGGTGTGCCACGCACGTATCCATAGAGAACAATATCTCGATCACATTTTTTATTCAGCCGTATTTTTTCACTGTTAGTAATGTCTTCCATCCTATCAGCTAGCACGTATGAATGCGCACCTCGCCACGTTGTAGGTCTGAATTTCATGACAGATATAAAACGACCTAAATTTGTAATTTCATTTCGTAAATATTCTCCATGCAATATACCAGAAAGATAAAATAGTTTAGCTCCAGCATATATTTCTGTCCAAAATCTGTGCTTTAAAACCTAGATAAATAATATTTATGATATTATTGATATTGCAAAAAACAACAAAACAATCAACATTAATTGATCTGTTGTCTCATATATTCTAATATTTCTATTTTACATATCTATAGAAGTTTAGAAATATAAGCATAGTGCATTCTATCATTTAATACATTATTTTAAAAATAATAATTTTTATAATGATAGTATTATAAAAATTAAGATTTTGAAAGACAAACATAAAGCAGATCTGAATTAAGAAAAATTATTGATTAACATACCTTCTTTTGCCTTTTTAGCGTCTTAGCATTTTTTATCATATCTAAATGTGTAAGTACACCCATAATTTTTGGCATACCATGAACTTGACAAATATTTAAAAATTCAAAAATTTCCATCTCAAATCCAAAGCTCGCATCACAGAGCAATAATACCAAATCCGCACATTTGGCAATATCTATCATAGAATTTATATCATTGTTACATTCAATTAAAGTTATTCTCCGTTTTTTAGATGTTACCAATGTAATTGGCCCATTAATATTCGTAACAGTAGTTTTAGTGAAACTTTTGATTAGATTTTTAATGAGGGTTGTTTTTCCTACTTTTGGAGGACCGACAATTGCTATCAATACTGGTGGAGGTACATCAGGAGTTTTATCTACTGTTGGTATATGTTGCTTCTTTGTAACAATATCTTCTTTACGCCGAAATCTTCTTTCAGCTCGCACAGCCGAATTTATAGCAAAAGCTTTAGGATTTCTGTTTTTGTCATTTTTACCATCGGCATCAGGTTTATTACGCAACTTCTTTTTTACTGCTTTTCTCCCTAGAAAATTAAATCAGTATACAAAAAAATGAAATAAAAATTTTCTGTAAAATATTTTTAAATAATAAATCTTATAATACCTGAATGTGGATCCCTGTGGGCTTTCTTTTTATCTTCAGTATTTTCCATTTCCAGTCTTTATTTTTCTTCGAAGTATTTTTAAGATTTATTAACAATAATATTAGCAAGGCTTGGTCATATTTTAGGTTACCTAACCTAACTAGCACGTGTTTGTCAATATTATGATTATATATTACTTCGATTATGTTTCTATCTGATTTTAAAGAAACAAGCTATAATACTAATTAATGAAATAACAAGAAGTCATTTTTGTCACATAAAAAAAAGAAGAAAATAAATTTTTTCAATCATATTTATAGATCTTTATTTATGTAAAAACTCATAACCTGCCCCTAGCACATATGCAATCACTATTAGTGTGTTTGAATTTAGTATTAGTATTAGGTCGTTGAAAAATGTCCTCGTGCTGCCATTGTTGCGAAAATTCCCCTATCACTCTTTTTCAGGTTCTAAATTGACAGGTTCAAATTGCTGTTTATAATTTTTGTGGTTAAAAACGAATAGTAACAAAATATAAATAATTATGTATTGAGAATAAATATTGTTTGACGTGGGAGAAGTAATGAAAATCAGTTTAAAAATTATTGTCATTAGTTGTGTAAGAACTTAAATGAAAATTTATTTTTGTAATGAATTGAAGACAAAATATTTAATTTGTACGAAGTGATTATTTTGATTTCAGGTTGTATATTATGATAAATCAAGTTAGTTTTTAAATAACATTACATTAAAATGGCAAATACGGCACAAACATTGGCCAATCGCAATAAGAAGCACTTTATGGGAGTACCTGCACCTTTAGGTTATGTAGCTGGTGTAGGAAGAGGGTAATTTTTACTCAATTGTAGCTTAGATTTTATTTTTATTATCTTAATGTATTTTGGATGTTGTAGAGTAAACTAACATTTGAACTTATAACTTGCATTCTAGTGCCACTGGATTTACTACTAGATCTGATATTGGTCCAGCGAGAGATGCCAATGATGTTTCGTAAGTAATCACAAGACATTTTTTAAATTAAAATTGCTTTGCTTCTATAACATTAGATTTACATATGATTTTTTAGTGATGACCGGCATGCTCCGCCAGTAGGAAAAAAGAAGAAAAAAGATGAAGAGGAAGAGGACGATGAAGATTTAAATGACTCAAATTATGATGAATTTTCTGGCTACAGTGGTTCTCTATTCTCAAAGGTTTGAATTCAATACAAATTCATATAGAGAAAACCAAGCTAGAATAATGAGTGCTTGTGTCACTCAAATATAATAATATTCAAAACTATTACTGGAAACAGAATTCGGTTCATTAATGGTAATAGAGTTAATGTCCACCTCTTAATTTTTTTTTTAGGATCCATATGATAAAGATGATGCAGAAGCTGATGCAATTTATGAAGCTATAGATAAGCGCATGGATGAGAAAAGAAAAGAATATAGAGAAAAAAGGCTCAAAGAAGATTTGGAAAGATATCGGCAAGAAAGGCCAAAAATTCAGCAGCAATTTTCAGATTTGAAGAGAGATCTTATTGCAGTGTCTGAAGAAGAATGGGCAAATATACCAGAGGTTGGGGATGCAAGAAATCGCAAACAACGAAACCCTAGGGCAGAAAAATTTACTCCGTTACCTGACAGTGTTTTATCAAGAAATTTGGGAGGAGAATCTACTACAAGTATCGATCCTAGCTCAGGACTTAGTTCAATGATGCCCGGAACAAGCTCAGTTGGAATGTTGACTCCTACAGGGGATCTGGATTTAAGAAAAATTGGTAAAATAATATTTTTAATTAGCAATTGTAGCTATAATTATAGCATCCTCAATGATGACTAAAATTGAAGTTATATGCACAAACATTACTAAATCTAATTTTTCATTATTAGGACAAGCTAGAAATACTTTGATGAATGTTAAACTATCTCAAGTGTCAGATTCAGTGACAGGACAAACAGTTGTAGATCCTAAAGGATATTTAACTGATCTGCAATCAATGATACCAACGTATGGTGGCGATATTAATGACATCAAAAAAGCTCGTCTTCTTTTAAAAAGTGTTAGAGAAACAAATCCGAATCATCCTCCAGCTTGGGTAGCATCAGCAAGGTTAGAGGAGGTAACTGGAAAAGTTCAAGCTGCTAGAAATTTAATAATGAAAGGTTGTGAAGTGAATCCACTCTCAGAAGATCTATGGTTGGAGGCTGCACGATTACAACCACCTGATACTGCACGCGCTGTTATTGCTCAGGCAGCTAGGCATATTCCAGCATCCGTTCGTATTTGGATAAAGGCAGCTGATTTGGAAATAGAGACAAAAGCAAAACGTAGGGTTTACCGCAAAGCGTTAGAACACATTCCAAATTCTGTGAGACTTTGGAAAGCAGCAGTGGAATTAGAAAATCCAGAAGATGCTAGGATTTTATTATCACGTGCTGTGGAATGCTGTCCTACATCAGTGGAACTTTGGTTGGCATTAGCCAGATTAGAAACATATGAAAATGCTAGGAAAGTTCTGAATAAAGCTAGAGAAAATATTCCCACAGACCGACAGATCTGGACAACTGCTGCTAAATTGGAGGAAGCTAATGGTAATATTCATATGGTAGATAAAATTATTGAAAGAGCTATATCCTCCTTAACATCAAATGGTGTTGAAATAAATAGAGAACATTGGTTTAAAGAAGCTATTGAAGCTGAGAAATCTGGTGCAGTGCATTGTTGCCAGGTAAGCTATTAAATAATAAATTAATTTGATTTCTAGAATAAATTTTATATCTTGCCCTGTTTTTACATCAAAAATCATACTTCACTCATCAAAACATTTTGTACTACTGCCTATAAATCCTCTGCTATAAAATAATTTTTTGAAAGTTGATTGATTTTAAAGAAATAAACATAAATTGGTAATTTGAATTTAAGGCTATAACTAGAGCTATCATTGGAGTCGGTGTTGAAGAAGAAGATCGTAAGCACACTTGGATGGAAGATGCTGAGAATTGTGCACAACAAGGTGCATATGAATGCGCTCGTGCAGTTTATGCATATGCTTTATCAACATTTCCTTCAAAGAAAAGTATTTGGCTTCGAGCAGCTTACTTTGAAAAGTCTCACGGTACGCGTGAAACATTAGAGAGTCTTTTACAAAGGGCAGTTGCTCATTGTCCTCAATCAGAAGTACTCTGGTTAATGGGGGCTAAATCTAAGTGGTTGGCTGGTGATGTACCCGCTGCTAGGGGTATCTTATCACTTGCTTTTCAAGCAAATCCTAATTCTGAGGAAATTTGGTTGGCTGCTGTAAAATTGGAATCTGAAAATGAGGAATATGAAAGAGCAAGAAGATTGTTGGCCAAAGCTCGAGCTTCTGCTCCGACACCAAGAGTTATGATGAAAAGTGCCAAGTTGGAATGGGCACTTAATAATTTAGACATAGCAGTTCAATTATTGGGTGAAGCAATTCAGATATTTCCTGATTTTCCAAAATTATCCATGATGAAAGGACAGATTGAAGAGCAAAAAAATGACTTGCCTATGGCACATAGCACTTACACAAGCGCGGTATGTATATAACATTTAGTCAGAATATATTTTTTTTTCATTTCAATGTTTGGTTGAATGCTCAGGATATTGATAAGAGACCTTACACTTTGAATCTGAGTTCTTATTGTGGTTATTCTGGAGTACTTTTCGGCCTGCACTTTGTGGTCTTGGCGTAATGATACAGAATATTTATAAAAGTATATTTACTTGGTTTAGCTATAAATCTATTGAAATTATACATATATATTGGTGTTTAATGCAGTCATTTATGTGCTTTCTAGTCATATATTTGATGGTTTTATAAGCAGTGTACTCGAAATTAATAATTTATACTCTAATTTGATTTTCAATAATTTATTACATAGAATTTATACTCTAGTTTGATTTTAAATAATTTACATAGAATTAATTCACATCTGGTTCAAAATACTAATTGTAAGTTCTAGCAGTATTGCGGGATCACATAAAAGATATTTCATGTAAATAATTAAAAAATAAATAAAAGTTTAAACATTGTTCTGTGCATTTCAAGGAAAAACGAATTATTTTTATGAGGTCTAGATTTGTTATCATTGTACTTTTTGTTTTTCCCTATTGTAATAGTACTATGTTCATTAAAAAAAAAATCAATATTGCGGTTAGTTTATGGAAAATGTTATTGTTTTATTAGTTAAAAGTGAATCCAACCTCGGTTCCATTGTGGCTGCTACTATCTGGTTTAGAAGAGCGCAGAGGTGCTCTCACTAAAGCACGTTCTGTGTTAGAGAGAGCAAGATTTAGAAATCCAAAAAGTGCATTGTTGTGGCTGCAAGCAATCCGAGTAGAAAATAAAGCTGGTTTCAAAGATATGGCAGGAACTTTATTAGCAAAGGCTCTTCAGGAATGTCCCAATGATGGTGTATTGTGGGCTGAAGCAATTTTTATGGAACCTAGACCACAACGTAAAACAAAATCTGTAAGTTTATCTAGGCATACTTAATAATAATAAAATAAAGTGCAACTAAGTTTCGAATAATACAATAGATTTTTTTTTGAAGGTCAAGTAATCTTACTACATTTCATCTAAAATATTGGCTTTAAATAATATTATTTTATTGTAGGTGGACGCTTTGAAGAAATGTGAACACGATCCACACGTCCTGCTTGCTGTGTCAAAACTTTTTTGGAGTGAACATAAATTTCAAAAGGCTAGAGATTGGTTTAACAGAACTGTAATTATCAAATCATTAGTTAATCTTATTATTGTCATCATAAATAATACTATTTGTTATTTCAGGTTAAAATAGAACCAGATATTGGTGATTCATGGGCTTATTTTTATAAGTTTGAATTACAAAACGGAACACCAGAGCAACAAGAAGATGTTAAACAGCGGTGTATAGCTGCTGAACCTCACCATGGAGAAGTTTGGTGCAAGGTTTCTAAAAATATTCAAAATTGGTGTCTTGGAATTGAGCAAATACTTCTTTTAATTGTGAAAGATCTTCCAATACCGGTGTAAAAATGATTAATTATTGCTTTTAATATATATTTAATTGTATATATAAATATCATCTTTTTGTTTAGATGAATAAATTCTACTAACACTCTGAAATAATTTAGTAATAGATTTGTCTTATTTATGTATTTCAATTTGTTCAAAGAAATTGTAACAGTATTTTTATTTAGTGACAGACATCTAAATAAATTCTTTAGTAATGTTTTATAAATAAATTGCTTTCTTATTTTTATATTATATTTCATGATTTTATTTCATGTAAAAGCATTAAAAACAGTATTTTATAGAATCTAATTGCAAGTCAAATATGATTTTTACTAGGGTTTATACAAAAACCGACATTTTAGAAAACCGGTTTTCGAAGTTTAATTTTACTAAAAAACCGGTTTTAACCGGTTTTCGAATTTTATATAGAAAATAAATTTTTACTCGAATATTCAGTAAGTTATCCGAAAATTTAGTGTGATTTAGAGCAGTATTTGACTGAATTTTTGTATGGTTCAATTTTATAGATAGTAAACAAAATTATTTAAATTTTAATTAGTAGAACTAAATAATAATAGTTTATCTAGATTAAATAACTTTGAAAATAATTATTCGGTATTCATGCATCATTTTCGCATATAAGGATGAAAATATTTTTATGAAAGCGAAAGGAAAGTTTTCGAATAAATAAAAATTATACATTTTTAAATAAAAAAATTCGTTAAATTAAAAGAAAACAAAAAAATATTAGATACATGTTGATACATGCTGTGATACATAAATACTCTCATACTTGCGAGTAAATTATGCTTGATTGTTTTTAAAGCCTGATATTATAATTCTAATAAAGTTTTTTGTTCTTTAATTTGTGGCTTTAAGGTTTAAAACTCTTTTTTTTTAAGTTTGAGTAGAGGAAATTACTTCTTCAAGAAGAAGTCACACTGATTTAAATTAATGTATACACTATTATAAAAATCTAAATTAATATGAACAAAACCTTTCTGGGAACCATTGCAGACTGATAAGATATCAAATGATGTTGAACAGATATGATTTCAAGAATCAAAATGCTTTCATCTATATTTTATATTTGGCTATATTTGTCATTTTTCATTTATGCAGTAAAAACCGACTTTTTTCACTAAAAACCCGGTTTTCGAATTCCATAATTTTCGCCAAAAAAACGGTTTTTAAAACCGGTTTTTGAAAACCGACTAACCCTAATTTTTTCCTAAAAATGTAGGTTTGTTTCAGAACGCTCTATTGCATATTTATTATAAATAAATTGTTGAAATAGGAAAAAAATAAAAAATGTTCTTTGTTTGTATAACTTACTATTAGGAAAACTAAATATATGCATAGGTGTATTGTAACAATTGATATGGTTCTGGTGCCCTCTTTGGGGGCAATGCTGCTATATAGTACAATTTTAGCATTGCTTCCCCAAAACGAAAGGTTACCTTAGCACTCCGGTCGCCCGCTAAACTACCAGTAATTACCTGTGGGGGGTTAGTAGCTAACTATGCGAATAAGAACAAGATTACATTTATAAATAACTCTATTTAATACTTAAGAATGCATCATGTATGCATTTGTGGACATGATTGTACTTGCATAAAGTCATGTTACCTAAGTAAAATCTCTTATTCTTATATTATGGAATATATGTGGGAAAAATAGCTATAGCTTATGATTACATGATCTGACCTTAAGCTGGCCTGTCTTCTTGTGGCACCACACACACACACACAGCTAACACTAACGTATCCCATGGCGGTCGTCCATGGAATACTTCTCAGAAGGCGGTAACTTCTTAAGTGCCCCGGCCTCACAAAGCGTGTCTTCTCTGAATCCCAAAGAATTATAATTATTACGGAGTAATAATACGAAGAATATTACGGAGTAGTAGTATTGTACCCTAGGGTCGCTGTTCATTAGGCGATAATAATAATTAAACATAAATAATATTGATTATCGTTACAGTTTGTACATATAGTATATGTTGTACATGTATGTTTAAATATGCCGCATTTTGATGAAAACGATTGAACCGATTGCGATAATAACTGGATTGATTTGAATTTTTAATTAATGCGTGATTGAATTTTGGCGAAAACAGACAAAAATGTAACAGCCAATTTCCGGTAACTGGTAGCTATCCGGGCATATAGTTATGCTATATACTATATATTACCTAAAACAAAATATATGTTTTTTAAATTAAATTTTTAATAAAAATCATATGAATACATAACAAATACTAATGCAATATCAGGATATAGTTAAACCCAGTTTTTATTTAAAATGAATAAAAGAAATAATAAAAATTACCGGCAATGATACAAAATTTTTATATTACTTTTACACATTTTATTCGCAAAACTTGGATTATGATCCCATCGTAATTTACACAAAACAAAAATAAGGTCAGTACTTAAATAGAAGTTTAATTTTCAGCAACTTGACTCAATTTAAGAATTTAGACAAAATTAGGCAATGTCTTCCAGGTCTAAAAAATATAAAGATATCTTAGGATGTAAACTTTCCGACTTCCATTTCAATCTAAGGTTTTTCAGTTGAATTAATTAATAAATAATTCGAATTTACGAATGTATTCTCATAGATAGTAAAATCTGCATTGAAAAGTTGCAAAATCTTGTTTCTACAAATTAATTAATGATAATTTGAGTTAATGATATTGTATTTGATTTAGTTTTTAATATATATGATTTAACAGTCGGAGAAAAAATATATAATATAAATTATTTATTTATTTATTTATTTATTTATATATATATATATATATATATATATATATATATATAAATCATAATAAGTTATATCCAGTGGTGTGGTGCTAATATTTTTTTTGCCGGAACGCTAGAATTTAAAAACCGGTTCATAAACCGGTTCAAAAATCGGTTCTCATGTTTGCTCCGGTTCCGTTCGAAAAGGAAAGAAACAAAAATTATTACAAAACCCATTTTGTGCACATATATGTATGTTTATTACAATAATAGGAACATTTAATAAAAATTAGTTAAATGATAATTTATAAAATTCACTTATTAAATCATTTTCTGTATGTAGCGATTTTTTAAAAAACTTTTTTTGCCGGAACGCGTTCCGGCCCAAAAATGATTTGCCGGAACGACGTTCCGGTGCGTTCCGGCTCGACAACACCCCTGGTTATATCCCATTCTGGTATTAAAGGTAAAGAAATGACGAAACTATTAATTTGGCGAAGTAGATTTCGGAATGCGGCGTCCAGTTTTAAATTTATTTTAACATACAACGATTATATAATCAAATTGTAACTTTAAATAATAGAATAATGGTAAAAAGACTGAATGTGTCATTTGAAGCAAGAGGTCGTTATTACAGAAAAATCAATCTTTACCGAGATTAGATTGAAAATCATTTCGTTAAATATGAAGATTCAGTTTGGGAAAGTAAAAGTATTATTTTAGAATCAAGGGAATTGCTACCGCCGTATCTGCCACGGGGCCCCCAACGAGCGAAGCAAAAATTAATGATAACTTTACAAATAGAAAATATAGAAATACTAAATTCATAATCAGCTATGAATGATTTAATGAATATGTTTGTCAAAAAATGTAAAAAGAGTGTATATTAAATTTGAATTGTCTGTAAAGATTGAATTTTAGAAATAGATCAGATAGATAAATATTTTTTAAATTCTATGTATTGTGCATTTTTGTTAAAAATCCTTGCTCTTACTAAGGTCTCCTAAACAAATTTTCATACGATTCTAAAAAACTAATGAGAAAAAAAATGTTAGATAAAATCTATTTCAAGATATAATGCATTATGGCTAAATGTATGTTAAAGAGTTAAAAATGTCATTTTTTAAATGTTCTTTTACGAAGAAATGGCTCGACCGATTTTTGCCACTCAATCAGCACGATCTCCTATTCTAATCGATTTTTAATTTTGAATATTGGTTTAGAATTTTCAAATTAGAATTTTACAGTTTTGCAAAACTAATCAGCTTGAGTTCCTTAAAATAACTTTTAAAATTTTGAAATCGGTTCAGCCGTTTTTAAGAAAACGGCGACGAAAGTCGGTTGATATACAGATACATACTTTTTCCAAATTTGGTTATAAGAATGAATGAAAACTTCAATAAAACATCAAATTAGATTTTTTGTGAAAACATGAATTTTTATTTCAGGAAATTAAAACTATCTTATCTCAATTCAATTCACAATTATTATTACTAAATACATAAAGTTATATAGGCTGAAAAAAATGTAAATTTGATGTTATATATTTTAAGGACACGCATTTACGTCACCAAACTCCAATTTCATTCAGCTTGTAGTGTGTTCCATTGATAACGCTATTTTATAACACGGTTCATTGAATATTGCAATCAATCGTACTCAGCTGCACTTAATACGATTATAAATCGATTTAACTTACCCCAGTCTCGAAAACGCTTAGAATATGTCATCGTTTCGATTTAAGGGAATTCTAGTACGTTGTCATCAGATATATTCACAGTCTGAACTCTGCAGTCTGTAGATAACATGTACAACCCAACATTGGCAATTTCTGTGTGGGCAGATCTTGTTAAAGAAGGTGTAAAATAATTTTCCCGAAGTTGTATATAAAGCAGAAAATTGTTACCAAGTCTTCATACAGTGTTCATAAGTCCACGACGGAAGAGCAGATAGAACATTTAAAAGCAAATACAAAGTGAAATTTCAAAATATAGCATTTACAAATTATCAAAATGCGTTTATCGTATTGTGCTTCAACTATATTTCTCTACTTTTTTTTAATAAAATCTTCCATTTGTTTTTTGGCATACGGCAATTGTGACAACACGTTATCGATTTCTAATGGAAATTGTGATGAATTGGAGAAGGCTAAGACTGACTCTGAACTGATTTCTGCGGACAATGCATTTAAGAATAATGTGGGAATTTCTGAAACACGTGTTACTATGTCTCGTTATCATCTAGGTACAGAAAATAGCAGAATTTATAAGGAACGAAGTTCTCGCAGGTCAGAACGCAAAGCACGGTATTATTCGACTCAGGCCCACACCGGTCGCGACCAACGTGCTATTAACTCTGTCAGAATCATTCCCGATATAAAAGCGCGTTATGAAGAAAGTTTATTTAAACGTTCTTTACGCACGGGGCCAGGCCAACATTCAGACCAAGATTTTTTATCAAGGCGCAGAATGGAAGTAATGAGTAATGAAAGGCGAATGTTAGATGCTAGACGAAACCAGCAATTAACCAGACGCCAAGCCAATGAGATTAAGAACGAACGCCTGGAACAAACTGAAAATAATTTAGCACGGCAGAGAAGAGATGCTCAACGTTTATCATATCCTGCAGAAGGCTCTGGTAGCCTTAACGGCAACGAAAGAAATGCGAAGACTCATAACAGCATGGCTTTAAATTTGTCTGATAGAAAAGATAGTGAGTCAAATCGTTTAGTTCGGAACGAAATGAGAGACGCACGTATCGCAAATATTAGGCGAGCAGATACTCTACGCGAAGAAGATATTTCTTTACAATCTTTCTTTAGAAGATCCATATCCGCAGCGCGTTCTTCGATCGAAAGGGAGGATGTAGGCGAAAGACGATTGCAGAGCACAAATCGCAGTTTAATCTCTGTTAAGGACTATAGACTTCGAAGAATGGAAAATGAACGCGGTACAGTCACTCGACGAGCAAGAATAATTGACAATGTCAGAAAGACGCGCATAGACCATCAATCCTCTGAACGTAGTAAAGACATTCGCCAAAATAGACAAATCGCAACTAGAAGAACCGAAACGCAATTAGAATTGACAGTCCCTAATAATCGTATCTTTAATGACAACCGCCAATTTAATGAACGTCGTGTGATTAATAATAATAATAGGTTAGAATTGTTAGAAACGAGAATTCATGAACGACAGCTAACGGAAAGGCAAAGAATCGCTGCTAGACGAAATAATGCCGCAGCCACAGTTTATGATCAGAGAAGTGGCGAAAATAGACGTTATTTAAAGGATGGCAAAACTACAGAATCTCATAAAATTGAAAATTTCAATGAGGAAAGCTTAGTCCAAACAGATATGTCGCGACGTAATTCTATTAGGGGGTATAATACTGCAATGAATGTTCCGGAACGTATGTCTATACAAAATCGACGCAATTCTCGTTTGAACGACCAAGAAAACTTGACGTCGCGGCGTCGAATGCCCGATACAACCGGTGCAAATTATCGCAAAGTCATCAAATCTGAACAACAATATTTGAATCGGCATCGATTAGTGAATCCAGTAGGAGAGAGATTCGAACGACAAAAAGAAGAGCGACGAAGGAGTGAACGCGGAATAGTAAACGTAAGAAATGTTTGGGATTATAATGGGAGCCACCAATTGGAAACGCGTATGCTCTCTTCTGAACGTCGTTTGAATGAAAGAAAAGTTACTAATAAACCTCGTGTAGTTTCAAGTGAACGTACATTTGATGAACGTAGAATTTCTAACGATCTTCCAGTAAATGAAAGAATAATATATGAAAGACGAAGCATAAATGATCGTATAGATGCTCGTATGATCTCCAGAGAACGAAATTTAGACGTGAGCAGATCTATGGACAAACGTCGTATTGACACATTGTCCAATAATCGCCGCGAGAGGAGCGAGGCACGTATCGAAACGCAAACCGCTTCTAATGATCGTCGCTTGGATGAAAATATGCTTTTCAGGGAACGCCGCATGGCATTGAGCGAACGTAGCTTTGATGAACGTAGAGCAACCAAGGAAAGACAAATTAATGAACATATGCTTCCATTGACCTTAGGCAAAAAACGTGAAAATAAACACTGGTCCGCCAGTGAGCTACGCAGAGAGGAACGTAAGACTTTTGATCAACGTCGAGTTGCTGAAAAAGAGGTATTTGATGAAGACCGTTCCTCTATTAGTCGAAATACGGACAAGCGTGACACAAATACTGTACGAGGAATAAATACAAGGAAAATACCTTTGGATGCTTCTAATGAATATCGTATGAATAGACGTAAATCGACCACCGAGCGCAACGTGGTTGTAAGTGAACAACGTCGCCGATCTTCTAACGAACGTCTCGATGAACGTGGATTCGTAAAGGAGAGCCGCAAGAATGAACGAAGTTCTTTCAACGAACGTCGAACAAACGACCGTCAACCGACTACACGTCTAATTGACGCCAGGAAAATTCAAAATAATCAAGAACGTCGCTCTGATCGTGAAATTATCACTTCGAATCGTCGAGAAAAAGATACACGACGAATAGATGCCTTTGACAATATATTTAATATTCCTAACGAAAAAACTGTTAATTATGATTTCATTAATGGCAGGGCGCTGCAAATACTTCTGATTTTGATGATTTCAATGCATATGATATACAAAGCTATTGATGCTAAAACTGAAATAAGGTGAGAAAATGCAATAACAATAAAAATACTGTGAACTGTGATTTTCGATTTTCATACTATATTATTACTTTCAGGATAATTAAAATCAACTAATTAAAATTTATATTTGAAATTTCAGGTTGAAGAATGCTTTAGCTGCAGGAATACCGATGCTTAAACAAAAATTAATGTAAATTACATATTATTTTAGATAAAAGAAAACTGATGATGACGAACCCTGCTATGGAAATCTGTGAATTATAAAGATAAACTATGAAAATATTTGTAGAGATGTAAATATATATTTAATATTCAAATTCTATTATTAGCAGCTCTTTATAAAAAAAAATATTTATCTAGATGCATATGATATTTTTGATTGGAGATTGGGGAATTATATATATATATATATATATATATATATATGTGTGTGTGTACATATATACATAGATATGTATATATATATATATATATATATATATATATATATATATATATACATATATGTATGGTATACATGTATAAACATATATATATAAATAATGCAACTATGTAGTTTGAAAACATTGCTAAATTTTTCAATAATTAGACAAATATAATATATGTTTTAATTTTAAAAATATCTCTATGATGTACCTAGTTAAATATATATTAAATAAAGGAACTCTTATCAACAGATATTTTAATGTTTTCATTTTTAATCGAAATCATGTAATGATAAAAATTTAATAAAAGATTGGATTATACTATACAGTATAACGTTCTTAAGTTTGTGCCAATAATAACCTGCCCTATTCGCAAATGGAAAAATTATAAGGAAGTAGAAAATCTACAAGTAGCAGTATACATTTTTATTGGTCATTTATACACATAAATATTCATATAATTTCATGTAAAAACACAAGTTGTTTAGCTCGATATTATACTATTTATGCTAAACTATAGAAATGTAATAGATATTAATTAATAATATTTGGGAAATGGCTCAAGATACAAACACATATACTTTTTATTTTATGCATAAGTCACTGATTACTTATTTTAAATCAAATTTACTATTTAATGGTTATTGTCCTAAACACTTATATAAAAATTGTAATAAGGTGTTATATTATTTACTTATAATTGGAAAAATATATAAGCTCCTTTTGATTGATTATTGACAAAACCAACCGTTTATTTTGCAATAGAAGTAATCACAATAGCTATATTCACCTTAATCATATTATTTATTTTTAGATTAATCTAATGTAAAAGTTGGCGACATTTATATCAACATTTTATATCAGAAAATTATAAATTTCATATCTTTAGAAATTAACAATGTGGAAGCTACAAATATATCAATTAACGCACGTAAATGTTACAAAAGTAAAGAGCTTTTAAATTTTAAACAATTATTTTTTTCTAGAGAAAAATAACCGTTGAATAAAATAAATATTTGATAATAAAACATATTAAAAGTAAAAAATGTTTTGATAGACAATAAAACTAATCAAATACAAATAAAACAATATTTTTGAATTTTATTCATATGTAGGAACTGAGCAAATCTAAAGATAACTACATCATTTTAATTTAGATAAAAACAATAAGTACTATAATAAATTCATCATTATCATTAATAAAGTTCCAATTAAAATAGAATAATTTATTAATTTAAATTAGAATTAGAATAAATAATTGAGTTTGATTTATAGATAGGAATATAGATATACATACATACATGCATACATTCATATATATATATATATATATATATATATATATATATATATGCAGGGCCGGTCCTATCTTGGATGCGATGCATGCAAAAAATGCGGGCGCACGCCTTAGGTGGCGCCAAAACGAAATTCGGATATGAAATTTATAATATATGTAGTTTTTTCAATATCATTCAAAAAATATAAAACTTCTTTGCATATTTTACTTACCTTGGACGATATTTTTTAAACTTTAAAACAACAAACTGATACACGGTGGGAAAGTATAGATGAATACACACAATTCGGCTCTTAAAATAATTTAATATGAAGTACCAGTGTTATGTTTAATAATGTGAGCTAGATTTTTTTTGCTTTCTATGATTTGTTCAAAATAATAAAACGCATAAAATCCCCAAAATAAATAAGTAAAATGTTTCAAAACCCCAATATTTATTACCAATTCGTTAGAATTAAATGAAAATTTAAAAATATATTTGCAAGCAATAATGAACATACTGATATTTTTGGATGTCCGAAAAAGTTTGGATTGAAAACAAGAATTTCAAAATAGTTTTTTAGTGCCAGAACTATAGAAGACACTACTATTTGGTTATGAGCACCCGCAAATTGCCTTGATCTTCTAAATAATTTTAAAATCAATGTATTTTATGCGCAATTAGATTGTATCTAATTTTTTGTGTACTAAATGCAGGTTTATTACAAACGATTTACAAAAATTAACGTAAATGTTTATATAATTTCAAGGATACACTGTTCAAAAAGTTAAAATAATAGGGGGGGGGGCGCTAAAATAAAATTGGCATGCGGGCGCTGAGTACCCCAGGACCGGCCTTGTATATATGAATATGTACACATATATATGCATAGACACCTAGCTATTCATATATATATACACATTAGAAGTATACATGTATATACTGACATACGAGCATATATATACATATATCGGAATAGAGAGTCTCTGCACTATTTAATTGGTAAGAATATACGGCAAGTTATGGAATGAATTAACAGAGGACATTATCTATTAATAAGTATCTTAATCTATTCTATGCTTGGAGTAATGAATGCATAGTGAATGCACTTTGGACATAGCATATCAAAATATTAAATATTCCTACTTACCAGTTATATCACAAAAATATGACTAAATTCAATCAGCTGTAGTTTCTGATTTTGTTAATAATCGTTTTCTAACCTATTTATAGAGATGATCGTACATCAAACATCTCTATTCCTGTTGTTGTCACATGTTTATCCAATCTTTATCGTGTTTACCATTACTTAGTTTGGATACAAGAGTCTGCAGTGTTTTCTCGCGTTCGATCTGGCGTTTCTCAAGCGCAGAAACCTTTAATGCATTTTGAAAAATAATTTGCAGTTAAAAATTAGGTTTAAGTAATTAATTAAAAAATTTAAAAAATTGCCTGAAACGTAGTTTTTATTTTAACTTTCTGAAGAAGAAGTTAAATTTTCGTCATAAAATAAATTTTATGTTTTTGCGACGTTTCAAATCATTCTGAATAGTTTAGAAATCAAAATTCGAAAAATTATGGTTCGACGCGACAATCGGTCGATGCAATTATGATTACCAGACAAGTAATCTGGTGATTAGTTATCGGTAAAGAACGGCAGGGCTGAATATTCGTCAAACATTATAGACATACGAAAAGTGGTTGGATTTGGTATAGTGGGCTCTGCGTTTGGGCCATATAAGGTCTATACAATGCATGTCGTTTTTACTTATAAAATGATATAGTTGTTTTGATATTAAAAAATAAGACTTATTAAATATTTCCAAATATTATAAAATAGTTAAATTTTGTATTTTAACATAACTCTAATTGGATCAATCATTCTTAAAATATAATTGATATCAAATACGAATTTCGGTATATAAATAATAAAAATTCATGATTCAATAAGTAATAAAGTATTTATAATATATATAAATAAAGATAATACCTTAGTTTTGATTTGTCCCTTCAATGAAGAAATTGTGGAGTCTTTCTCGCGAATTTTATTGTGTAATGTGTGAATTGTCTTGTCTAGTTCAGTAATAAAGTATTTATAATATATATAAATAAAGATAATACCTTAGTTTTGATTTGTCCCTTCAATGAAGAAATTGTGGAGTCTTTCTCGCGAATTTTATTGTGTAATGTGTGAATTGTCTTGTCTAGTTCAGCTAATTCCCGTTCATGCGTATTCTGCAAAGCGTTCAGCTAAAAATACAATTATATATTAAAATATTTGTTGCTCAATATGCAATATATATATATATATATATATATTTAATATTGTATATTTAATAGCATTTCAAAATTAAAAAAAAAATATCATAAAAATAAAATATGATTTTTTTAAACGTGAAAAATAATAGACTTTTATGATTTTGTAATAGCACTTACATCTTGAAGTCGTTTTTCGACCAAGCTCTGATACTCCCGCTGAAGCATTTGCAAAGCACGATTTTGAATATGTTCGTTTTCATGTTTATCGGTGTCAGTGAACGATTGTGGATCATATTCTTTAGCTTTAGCTTGTCCTTGCATTTTAAGACTTGCTAAAATTTCGGTTTACTCATAATTAGTCATATTATCCTATGTTACTAAATATATCATTTAGTAACCACACCATGCATTTGCAGCTACCTATAGTCTATTGCTAATAAATACAAAGCTGTTAATAATTCATGCATATAAAAGAGTAATAGTTAACCTGAAAGTAGATTGCTGATATTACTGTAAAAATGCAAAAGCAGTACAATTATAAATTATTTAATCACTATAAATAAACATGGAAACTAAGTTCTTGGAAATATTAATAACTAGTCTGTTAAAATCTGAATTTAAACTAAATTAGTATTAAATTTTGTATATGTTTAAGTTAGATCGTGTAAAACTGATATTACATATCATTTTGAGAAAATTTGCATTATGAACCCGTTTTGTGCTAATGATATTTTGTTTAAAAATCCGTATTTAGATTAAAATTCATTAAAAACATTTGTACCAAAATTGTTGAGATGAAATAGTATTAAAAAAAATCTTACTTTAATAAATATTTTTTTATAAATATTATAACTAATAAAAATATTATAATTATTTGAGTGAACAAACTGTGTAAACTTAAGAAATTTATTAATTTGTATGACAAATATACATTTGAATTGATTCAGTTTAATAATTGTGTGTGTTATATACATATGCCTTTTTTAACTTTTCGTTGAAGTTTTCTCAAAAATGGCTAAGCTGATTTCAAAAATGTTTGACATTCTGAACAAAGATTAGCCGAGCAGTCCTTTTTTGTAATTAGCAAAAAAGCGTAAAAATTTTCGTCCACGTTTTAACCAAATATCCTGAATTGATTTTAAAAATTTAAAAACTGTACGTAATGTATTGGTCGGAATGGTGCAAATTAGTTTAATACAAAAATCAGCAGAGTCGTTTCATTATAAATAATTTTTAGAAGAAAAGAGTTGATTTGTATGAAACTTTTTTGAAGATAGAGATTATGGTCTTAAAGAATATACTAATAATAAGAATAGACTATACGAATTAGGGCCCAACGAAAAGTCGTTTAATTTAAAAAATTCGTCAAAGTTTGAAAAAATGAGAAGTGATTTAAAATTTTACCTTACGTTGACGATTTCTCGAAAACGGCCGTTCGATAAAACTCGACAAGCACTAGAGTCGTAACAATTAAATAAGGAAAAAAATGCAAAGTTTTTAGTTCAGTTTTCGTAAAAAAATCTCACCGATTTTAGAAATAAAAAACGTAAGAATGATACTAGTTGAGAATCGTACTGTTTGGTAATTAACAAAAGACGGTGTTGCAGTTTTTAAAAATACTGTTTGGTATTTACCCAATTTTTTTTGCGTTTTTGATGAAGCTAAACAATTACTTATGAATATTATAGTCCTACGAAGAGAAGTTAAAATATAAAAATCATTAAAATTTAAAATGATAGACTGCGTTTTTACAACATACAAGCTCGTGTTTGTGCACTATATACTATAATACTCAATTACTGATAGTATAAATTTGTTTAAAGCATATCACAAAAATTTTAAAACGTACTTCTTGGTTTTTAGAAAAAACTAAAATTTTATTTTCGAAATAAACAATTGAAAATTTTATCTAAATAGCAAATCTCAATTCTTATTGATTAAGTCTTATGCATAATGCGTATCTGGGAGTTTTTGCAACTTGCTTCAAGGCAAAATGGCACTTACACCTAGATATATTATACTTTACAATTCTATGACAAATACCATAATAAAAATTACTTATACTAATAAACTAAAAATCATGCTTTTATGCTGCAAAAATTTGTTTTTAATTTTATTTTCAAATATTCAAAAAATGTTCATAGCACTCATCCACAATTCATATCACATGCAAGGTATAAATCATAATAGTTTACCTTGGAGTCGTTTTACCATCTTTTTGTTCTCTTCAAGTTCCTTTAACGACTTACTGATAGTTTTTTCCTTAGCTGCGAGATCTTGTTTCAAACCTCTTATAGTCGCCAGTAAGTGTTGATCCTCCTTATTTGCTGCATGGGCAATGTTCTGTTTATTATTTTTTATGGGCTGCATCTTTTGTATAATTTTTGGAGTCTGTACCGCGACAGTCGTTTTCTTGGTCTTCGCCGTAAAATTCTGAGGTTTTGTAATAACGGTTTCAGTTTGTGTTTCCGTTTCCTTTGTCAGTTTGTTTGATGAAGCTTTATTATGCTCGTGTTGTAATTCCGAATTTATTTTTTGTAAATTGAAGACTTGCGATTCGAGATCGGCTATATGAGCTTCGTACTTAAATTGCATAGCATCAAATTTGCTCTGTACGCTCTGAAGCATGGTCTGGGATTGTGTGGTCTGAGTTTTGGATTGAGATTCTAATTTTTGAATTCTTTCTTCCAGTAGACGTCGAGCAGAATCATTAGCCGTAAGCGCAGGCGCCTTAGAAGCAACTAAAATTGTACATATTATTCTTTATACGATTTCTATCGATAAAATAGAAAAAGTGTGCAATTTAAACAATATTATTTAGTCGAAGGTATAAAACAATATAAGTTAAAGCTAAACTAACCAATAAGAGCTGATACGGAATCCGGATACTTCTTAGTTAAGATGCGTTCCATTTCTCTAATCTGTCTTTGTAAATCTGTAATGATTTTTGTTTGGTTCTCTTCAGAAGTTATCGACGCTTGTTTTACATCTCGTTCCTTCTACGAATAAAATTTGCAAAACATTATCTTATTAAGTTATTTTTACCAAATATAAAAAATTTAATTTTTAAAACAATATTTTTTTGCTTATAAGCAGATTAAATACATACCTGTAATTGATTTTGCAACATCGCATTAGCATCTCGTAGTTGATTTGAAATTTTCTTATATTTATATACCTCACTTTCAGCAGATTTTAATAAGGATTCTAATCTCGATACATCTACTTGTAAGTTATAGCATTTGGTCTAAAAAATATATACAATTTCTAAAAAACCTCCATTGAAATTGAAACACTTAATTGATTAGATCTGTCTCACCTCGAGTGCCGCATGATCACGAGTTAAGCTAGCAAAACTGACAGCAACTGAGTTATGTTGAATCTTGGCGGCCTGCAGTCGTTCTTCTAGTTCTTTCACATTTTCTTCAGATTTCTGCAAACATTATGTAAATAATTAAAAACATACAAAAATTATTGAGAAAACTTATTGTAATAATGCTTTTGTTTTTTTAAACACTATTAAAAATAGTTTAGCGAAAAACTAATACTATGCTAAAATATAATTTACGTCAGATAATAATTCTGTTCAATTAAAATTAGAATATATTTATTATTTTCCATATACAAGTTGCATTTAACACTAGGTTCACAGGAATTTCGACAATCAGCTATCTCTACGAAAACCGGCAAAATTGACGCAATGCGTATTTTCTTTAAAATAATCTATTAATTTATTTTATTAGGTTGAGCTGAACAGTACGAAGCTATAAGGCTTCGTGTAGAAATAAAATGTAAAAACTGTTAACATATCACGAAAAAATAAACATGTGAAACCAACAAGCTAAATATAGTTTTCAAACAATATTATTTGAATGTCTTTTATGACATTTAGCATGTGATTTTATTACAATTACATATAAAAATTACAGCTTCTCATTTTATTACACGATATGGCTATTTTTTCGAAATCCTAATACTTTACTGATCCGAAATATCGAGTTTCGAGTGGGGTTAATGATCTTTTTTATTAGCGATTCGATTGTATACAAAATAACATAATATAATCAAGTTTTGTGCATCTCAGACTACTCATTACTATTATATTTACTATATGAGGTCATAATATTTCAAATGAAACAAATATATGATCATTGTTTGCATAATCAGCCTACCCAGTCAATTTGACGGTTTCGGGTATACCACATATGAATATCAAAATTGAGTAAATTTATCTTCAATGCAAATATAATATCAATTAATAAAATTATGAATTTGCAAAACAAATTAGTTCAGATTAGTACTATGGTTTTTTAAAAATATCATTTCACAGTTTGAATTCCGCCAAATTGACGGGTACCGTAAATCTATTGTTAAGTGTGATCCCATATCAGTAGCATTCAATGATTGTTAAATCAAATATTTTTTCATGAATTTAAAAAAATGTTTGAAAATAACGTATTAAAATTCTATACCTTTAATTTTTTCTTATAATCATCGGTCTGAAAGTTAAGGTCTCCATCATAACTCATAGGAGATGTACAAGCGTGACAGTAGTTTGATGAATTCTTTTCCCTCGATGTTTTTTTCGTATATTTAGATTGAATAGACAAATGATCACCTATACTACGATCATTGTGTTGTTCCGGAGATGGCGCAAAATCGTTACCGTTAAACCTTTTATCAGCATATTCCGCTCTTGAACTAATTGGATTATCGATTTCCTCTACTGTACGCAGTAGTAATCTTCGCGCTTCTAATTCATCCACCTGCCCAGGCTGGTCATCGTTGTCTTCGGGCAAAGAAAATGCATCGCTTTCCGTATCAAAAGATTCATTGTTATATGTTGCAGAATTATTCTGAAAATAAAAGAGGACATTATTAATAAATATAATAAGGATGCGTCCATTAATTACGTGAGGCTTAAATGGGGAGGTGATTTCCACAATAAATCTCAAAATATCACGTGTTGAAGGGAAGGTTTAGTTTTTAAAGATTTATTTATTTATGAAGGGAAAGTAGTAGTGAGATATCATTACTGTATCTACTTTTTACCTAAATTAAACAAAAACCAAAATTTAAACAAAAATGAAGATTTTTTATGGTGTTAAAAAATTAAAAACACAAGCGGTGTTTGATGGTGGAGGAAGGTAAGCTGAAATATCTCCACATATCAAGAAGTGAAAGGAGGGGAGGGGTTTAAAAAATCCTTAGAAATCGATCACGTGATTAATGGACAAAACTTCTAGACAAACTAAATCTTGAAATAGTGGCCGCATTTAATAAGTATACACATTCGTAAATGTAAAAAAATTAAATATTTTTTAGTAATACATATTGATTAATGTTGTATTTTTTTCATTAAAATCTCAGTTAAATTTAAATCTTCATATAATATCCCAAGTCTTGTTTCACTTGCTGTTTTTATGATGGGAGCTCAAAATCTCCATCGAGTTGTGCTCAACGGGTCAAGTAACGGCAAAGACTAGTATCTTGCAATAAAGCGACTTTTTTCAAGTATTAATCCTTTAAATAATATAGCGAAATAAATTATTTCGATTGCACTATAAACAAAAATATATAACAAATTATTATATATCCAAAGAAAAGAGATATTTTAAAAAAATGAAGAATATATATAATAAAAATTAATAACTGAATATAAAAATAACTTCATTCGTTATTACTAGAAACTATTACATAATGACGAGGGATATCGATATTATATATTTTTATATTTTTTAAATACATATTTTAACGTTTTCTTCTATATTTAAAAATAATGGGGTTTAGAATTTTATACCAACGTTTTGAATCTAAAAATAAGAAAATCATAAATATCCACTTATCTATTAATTAAAAAAAAACTAAAGTAACAAAATTTAATACGCGCCCTTTTGATATACTACATTTACATAGTTTGTATTGTATTTCAATGTATTAATACAATTGAAGAAACTAAACTTAAAAATAATTATCGATTAAATAATATTGACAATATAATGCAATCAATGATAAAAAATTCTAACTTATTATTTATGTACAAACGCAAATAAATTAACAAAAATTTTAAAATGTTACTTAAATATATACAACTTGCCTACACTCGCAGTGAAAAAATTACATCTTATAAAAAATCAAAGACTTTTTATTTGACAATAAAAATGACAACATAGCAATGAAATCAATGCAATATTTGATTGCTGCACCTTATTTTTACGTTTACGTTCTGATAACGAATCATAAAGTTTAACGAATAAAATAATATGCAAGAAGATTCCCATGTAAACCAGTTTTTAATAGCACTTCTTAAACGTAGGAAAGAAAAACAAAGACGTAGTCATACTGCAAAGGTATTAATCGATATTTAATTTCAAAATATATTTATTACAATCACGTGGGTTTCCTGTCCATTTATTGGAATCACCTAAATACGTCATAAACTGTCAAACGAATCAAAAGAAAATAACATGACGTGATGGTTCGATATTATAAAGCGTCATTGTCTAGAGGCGAAAATCTAAATATTTATAACTTAACGAACCTTCCATTTTCTCTCTAAGAAGCAAATGTTAACATATAATCATATAAATATTCTTTGCACACTTTTATTAAAACATATTTTTTTACTCTCACTTTTATTTGTAAATTTTTTGCATTTGTTATAATTATTGCGTTTACAAATAAATTAAATGATATGATCAAATATTGAAAGCAAAGGTAAGTAAAAATAATAAAATGTGATCTTTAACGTTATTATAAGAAACGTTTGATATAAGTGCTCAAAATTGTTATAAGTCCATTTTCCACATATTCAGGCAAGGAATTAATTGAAATAACGAGTTACTTAATTTATGTAGTTAATTATGATTAAATAGAGAATTTAAATTTCCGGTTTACAGTTATAATAAAATATAACCATCGATCCTTTAAAGCCCGGAATTACATCAGTTCACAGAGTCACGGCACTGTCTATTCGGCCAGCATCCATTGTTTACACACTACCACAATGTATGAAGAGATCAGGCAGAAAGTATACGCAGCGCGTTGCCGGTCCAGTACCATAAAAAGTACCGATATTCCCGTACAAAGAACGATGAATCTTGACTACAACTGACTATATAAAACCATCCGGACACTCGGTCCGGTTTCAGTAAGCAACATGTCGCCGCGTTGTTCGCTATTATATTTAACGATCATCTCGTGTATTCTAGGGGCACTAGCTGCCCCCAGCGTATCGGACGAAGGAAAAGATAAAGTACATTATTTAGGGGCAACGGATGAACATCCAGTTATACCAAATTTACAGAAAAGTGATAATAGACAAGATTTACATAATGACAGCAAACCATCACACTTAGAGCCGGCTACAGAGGATGTTGCATTCGAGGACTCAGAAAAACAATTGGAAGCTTTTAAAGAAGCTTTCGAAGAGAATTCAGCTTTAGGCGCTTTGAAGAAAGTTCAAATAGTAGCAACGGACGAAGACACCGAAGTAGTAGAAGCTTTAAAAGAGCCTTCGGCTGTGGACCAACTTAAAATAGACCAAGGAATAGGCGATGTACAACCACGTGTTTACTATAGAGGAGCTCAACTGTGGAGAATCGCTTTCCACGATCAGAAGAGCAAAAATGCAGTCGCTATTCTGCACAGCACTTATTCAAATGGTAATTTATAAAATAAAATATTCTCGATTATACAAAATGTTTGTAACAGATTTCTCAGAATAGTTATCGCTTTCAATTTTGACCACGTTGAAAAATGCGAAACATACATAATTTTTTCATTAATTGATCGGTTGAAATTTTAGCGTCGCAATAATGAATTATTTGTTTGTGATTTTTGTAATCCAATTATGAAAATGGTTGTTCAATTAAAAAGTGTTATGTTTATATAATTACAATTCTTTGTGACCAAAAATTAATAGAAATAAATATCATGTAATCGTTTGAAGTTAAACTCACTTTATAATAAAATTATATCATTTTGAAAATAATTTGAATCGTTGGACGTTAGCTGGATATATAATAAAATATTTCATATGTAGAACTAAATAAGTTTTTCGTTTGATAAAGATAATTATGAAAGACATTATAAAATCTTAATAACACACGCAAAAGATGTCTAGTATAGCTCAAAAAATTTAAATATGCAAAGAACAGTTATTTATTGAAAAGATTGCACTGATAGAACCTAACGAGTTCTTAACGGTTTACTATTTAATACTCATATGCAAATGTACATAAGTCACAATATAGAAAAAAAACCTAGTTAATTGAAGTCTTACATATAACTGTACTTCAACAATAATAGAAATACAAATTTACTCTTCGCAGAATATATGAATATATATTTATATAAATATATATATATATATATATATATATATATATATATATGTAAACTTATATCTCAATATTTTGCACAATATTTTTGTAAAATATATATTATTACTCTAAAATGTGACTATTAACCAAGGCTCTGACCCACGATTCGAATAGTTTTTTTTAATTACACATCATTATTAGTTGATACTCTTATATTAAAGTTGATATAATTACTATATTATAAACACTAATAAATGTTCTTAATTAGATATATCCATGTGGGGCGGTAACGGAACCGCAATAGACGTTTTGCTGCGAGCACCGTCCGTAGACGTAGCGGCAAGACTACTGCAAGACGCTCAAGTTCCTTATGAGGTGGTCATAGAAGATCTTCAACAAGCAATAGATACAGAAAATCCACCAAGGGAAGATATAGAACATTTCCAAAACAGAAAAGGTAAAAAATAAAAATGCTATTAGAAAAACTGGCGATAGAGTTTAATGGGTCTTATTGTATACGTATTTGAAAAATAAATACTAAAAGTAATACAGGATCTGCCACATAACTTTTTATTTGTAAGCAAAAAAGCTAATTTTTTTTGTTAACCGGTCAGCCATTTGAATGAATTTATTTTCTACTATTAACCGTCAAGATTGTACTTTTCTAGCATTTTCAAAAAATAAAGTTAATTAGCAAACTTTGTATTACCTTGGCGAGAATTGATCACATTTTTAAACTAGTGGTGTGTATGGCATCGTGCCTTAAGGCAAATTGCTGGAACTTCCCATACCGTAACGAAATATGTTCGAGAAATATTAAATGTTTTCATATAGATTATTATAAATACTGTAACATTGTCTAATATTTATAAGAATTATATAAACTGAATTGCAAAGTTGAAAATATTTGTTTGAAGTATATTAGAACTTAAGTCAGAATTACAATTTAAATCTGAATTATTTTCGATATACAAAAAAAAAATTGAAAAAAAAATTTAATATTTTTTTTCCAAAAGCAATTATTCTGTTAAAATAAGCAGAAAGTTCTTTGAATCATTCAAATCGGACGCTTAGTTCTCTCAAAAACTGCCATTTTTTGCACATTTTGCTCTGTATCTTCGAAATAGCTGGGCCTGCCTTTGCCAAAAACTAATAACCACGTCTTCCAATCATTACTAATTGAATGTTTTTTAGATCATTCAAATCGGATGCTCCGTTCTCTCAAAAACTCGATTTATATTTTCTGCAGTGTTTGCTCTTTATCTCCGTAACGGCTGGTCCTGCCTATGGCAAAAACTAATCAGCACATCTCCCTATCAATAGGAATCGAATGTTTTTGAATCATTTAAATCGGTTGATCCGTAAGCCCGAAAACGTGGATGAAAAATTGTATCCATACATACATACATGCACACACACACATCAATTTTTTCTAAGGTATGCCAAAATGTTCAGAAACATTCAAAACGTCGAGAAATGCAAAAATTTTCAATTTCGATTTTTGGACGATTACAATAACTTACCTTACGGGA